AGAAACTCTGCCTCGGGCTTCCTGTAGTCAGCCACTGGTCAGTTTCAGCAGTGGCTGAATCTGGACGCCGGTTCCGACTTACGTACAAATTCGACTTAAGAACAAACCTACAGTCCCTATCTTGTACATAACCCGGGGACTGCCTGTACTGAAATCCTCAAATCATGATGCCAAGACTTCTAATTGTTAGATATCTGTAAATGAATTTCACTAAAATATAACATTACTCTGGAGATTTTTCATAGATGTTGAATTAAAAGTATGTGCGATGTACTTTGTTAGGGATGTTAAGGACTTATCAGATTTGAAAGGGGCAGTGCTGCCCTATTAACCAATTGAATAGTCGATACAAAAATGCATCGACTATTCAATTAGTCTATTACACAATACTTAACATCCTTACTTGATGTGACTTACTTCAGTTAAATGATTAAAAGGATTAAGCTTAAATCCAACAAACCTAAAAGCTGGGCCTCTTGAGTTGTAAATAACAGATGATATTTGCTAAGCTTTTCTTCCATTGTGTTTACAGAGATGATAAGAAAGATGGTTTGAAGTTTTATACTGATCCCTCCTATTTTTTTGATCTTTGGAAAGAAAAAATGTTACAAGATACAGAAGACAAACGAAAAGAGAAAAGGAGACAAAAGGTAAATAGCAGTATAATAAATTGTACAACAATTTATGCATGTACACTTGTACAAGCTAAATTGTGTTTAGCTTATGTATATGTCTAAAGTCTTTTGCTATTTAGATATGACTGAAATGGTACGTTTAGCATTAGAATTTTTATTATAGTTTGTTTTTTATTCAAAGAAATCTGGAAATGGAATGAACCAGAGCTATAGTTTTCTTTTAATCTTTACTGTTCTCCACTTTTAGTATATTGGAAATCAGCTTATGCATTGGTAGCCATAAAGGTTGAATTGTAATGTTTTATATTTCTTCATCATTAGGGGTTCTTTATCTAGCTGTCCCACTCCCCCAGGAAAATAAAAATTTCAGATAATTACCGTTTTTCCTTTATTTTCTTTAATTGTGACTCTTTGCTTTTCTGCTTATATTGGAAGACATAGTCAATAAGGTAGTACAGATATTTTATGGATCAGCAACTAGAGTCGATGAGGATTAGGAATCATACTGCTTGTTGCCCCTCAAAGCCAAAAAAAAAGTTCTTCATAGAGAAGAATCTTTCAAATTTTTACTAGTGTGTTCAGGTATTTGGTAGTGGTCAGAACAATGTGCATCACCTATCATGAGGATGTATGTGTATATTTGTTTTAAAGTGTTTGTTTTTAGCTTGCATGGGATAGAGAGTTTAATGGATGCTCATTTATGTTCCCTCTTTGCTGCTGATTAATTTGAGGAAGTTCTGGAAGGTCCATAAGATTCTTCATACGGTTCCAAGAAAGCGGGGAGAGAGAAAAAGGTAGATGAAGTTGCAGGAAAGGGTCCTAATTGGTCTGAAGGATTCCAGAAGAAAATAGCTCCAGGGAAGGACCATCAGACTACTGATTTGAAGAGTCACATGTTCAAACTTAGAATGCATGTATGCAACCTTACTCTAATGAAGAGTCACGATAGTAAAATTTCACTTCTCCAGATACATAACATGAAATTTACTCTTTATGACCCAACGGGATTCTCAGCATCATAAATCACAAAGAATTCTCACTTCATGTTAGTGTTCACAGACCTGATGAAACTGCTGTGCCCTTCGCTGCTCAGCCTACAAGGAACCCTGCCATCAGAAGGGAGGCAGGATACATGCCTGCCAAGAATAGAAGTAGATTGAATTGGAAGGATTGGTCAGTAGTCACCAGAAGACTGCTAGCCACAACAAATTGTCCCAGTAATGAATAGGGAATTCTGCTATGCATTGGGAGAGAACATGGGTCTTAGTTGCAACTGTCTAGTGCCAGACAGGTCTATGTGGAACTTACTGTTCAAATTCATTAAAAGTGCCATGGTGGCTTAAGGAAGCTGTAAGAATATGTGGAAGGCCCAAATCATCTGAAATGGAGAAGCACATTAAATAGATGTACAAATATCATTACTGACGGTACTTTGGCTAGTGTGTTTTGGGGAAGAGAGAATATCTTACTGATAGCAAATGCTTGAAAAGTAGAGAATTAGAGCATATCAAAAAATGAAATGACACAAAGTAATTTTCATTCTTCAGGTTAGAAAAGGAATCATTTCATTGGGTTCATATTTTTCATCAACATATTTATAGAAAACTACAAAATTTACCTGGCATTGCTTGAATCCTTGAGGGCAGGCGGCTGTGGGTGCATGAGTGCAGGAGTCAGGGCTTTGGCTTGCGGGATGTGAGGGGCTCAGGGCATGAGACTGGAGGTATGGGGAGTGCAAGAATCAGGGTAAAGGGCTGGGAAGCATGGCAGGGATTCTGACTTCAGGGAATGATTTTTAAATCATTCCAAGAACTCTTTAAGATAGTTGGGGACACACTAGCGATTTCCCTCAGCTATGCCAGGGACCTAGCATAAGCTGACAAATATACTGCATGCCTCTCCACGTGCCAAACTAGCCATCCCCATGAATGAAGCCCTCATGAACCCAGCAAAAACCATCTGGCAGACAATATCTCCGACCTGCCAAAGGTCAGATTGGAAATACTACGTTGCACCCAAAGGGGCAGACTTTCTGTTTTCCCTCCCCACCCCACCCCAAAGTCCCTTGTGGTGGATGCCATACATCAGGCTACCTGCACGGTCCCTTATGACAGGAAGAGATTAGAACTGATGGGCAAGAAGGCATGTTCATCAGCCAGCCTCCAGCTCAGGATCTCAAACTATTTGGCACTCCTTGCCAAGTACACACACCACATATTTGATCAGCTCACATCTTTTAGTGAGTTTCTCACTGACAAAGAAAACAATTTAAATTGAACATTAATGAGGGGGCACGATCCATCCCCTCTGTGGTTGTCATGAGGCGGGCATCGTGGCTCTACCTCTCTAGATTTCCAGGAGAAGTTCAGGCTGCAGTTGAAGACTTGACTTTTGAGGGAACTAAGCTTTTTGCTTAATTGACCAATGCCACACTTCATACACTGAAGGATTATGGACCACACTCAAGACTCTTGGCATACATGTACCTGTTACAAAAAAAAAAAAAAACAGGGAAGGTCATTCACGCAGAGGTACAAACCCACACCTTTCAATCAGCAACTGAGGCACTATGACCACAGATGCTGGCCACACCAAAGCAGGCACAGACAGGCCCCTGAGCAGACAGCTCAGCAGCCATCAACATCATGACAGGCATTTTTGAAGTGCTGGTCGAGGGTCTGAGAGCCCCAGTCTTTCCACAGCAACTATCCAAATCCTCCACATTATTTGGCAGCAGACTAGCTGCATTCTGTTCAGTGTGGCATACCATCACCACTGACAGGTGGGTGCTGGAAATCTTCAAAACTGTTTATTGCATCCTATTTTGAGTTACCACCTCCCCTGTGTCCGCCTTGCCCGTCTGTCTTCAGAGACCGCTCTCATGAACATGTGCTTGTACAAGAGGCAGAACATCTTCTCCAGCTAGGGGGCCATACAAGCTCAACCAGAGCACAGGGGCAAGGGATTCTACTCCCACTATTTCCGCAGCACGAAGAAGACAGGACGATTGAGGCCAATCTTAGACCTCCACGAACTCAACCACTTCATTTGATTTCAGCGATTCAAGATGGTAAGCCTCACCACTATCATTCCTGCCTTGGAAAAGGGAGCTTGGCTGTCTACCCTTGACCTCTACAATGCCTGTTTTCATATTTTGATACACCCGTCACAGACACTTTCTACGATTCACGATAGGGGACTTGCACTTCCTGTATAGAGAGATCACAAGGATTACCCATTTTTAAAACAAAGACTATCCAAATGAATCTTGGGATGTATACACCTTGGCTACATCTACACTGTCCCCTTCTTCGGAAGGGGCATGCTAATTTTGAACTTGGGAATAGGGAAATCCGCGGGGGATTTAAATATCCCCCGCGGGATTTAAATAAACATGTCCGCCGCTTTTTTTCCGGCTTGGGGAAAAGCCGGAAAAAAGCTTCTAGACTGGCGCGATCCTCCGGAATAAAGCCCTTTTTCGGAGGATCTCTTATTCCTACTTCAAAGTAAAAGGGCTTTATTCCGGAGGATCGCGCCAGTCTAGAAGCTTTTTTCCGGCTTTTCCCCAAGCCGGAAAAAAAGCGGCGGACATGTTTATTTAAATCCCACGGGGGATATTTAAATCCCCCGCGGATTTTCCTATTCCCAAGTTCAAAATTAGCATGCCCCTTCTGAAGAAGGGGCCAGTGTAGGCGTAGCCCTTGACTATACTATATCTCTGAAGGAGTCCCTGTCCAACATACAGGCTCACTCCACAAGAGCTAGGGCAGCATCAATGGCGTTCTCCGGGGCGTACCAATGAAGGAAACCTGCAAGGCTGCCAAATGGGCCATGGTGCACACTTCTACGCAACATTATGCCATTCAGACTTTCGCAGACTCTGATACCCAGTTCAGCCGAACAATACTCTCTGACACTGACTCACATCTTCTGAAGTTCCCACCACCAAGCAAGACGACTGCTTTGCAGTCACCTAAGATGAAGCGCCCACATGGATGTTCCTCCAAAAAAGAGAAGGTTACAGTAACTGGAGTTCTTCAAGATGGTTGTCCCAATGGACGTTCCACCACCTCCCCCCTTCCTCCGCTCTGCTTCAGACTCCTCTACATCTGGTTTAGAGAAGGAACTGAAGAGACTGTTGGCTGCGCATGCGGAATAGCAGTTTTAAATGTCGCATGTCGGTGGTTCCTCGTGTGTAGCTGACTATGGGCACTGCTACCTATAGTCTCCAATTACAGGCGCAGCACTGCTCAAGCACCTAAGGTGAAGCATCCATAGGGACAGCCATCTTGGAGAACTTCAGTTACTGCACCAGGGGAGTAACCTTCCCATCTGTTACAAATCTTATTAGTATGGTAGTTATTACAGACTGCTAATCTGCTTCACAGAATGGCAACTTTTTAGATTTGAGTGTATTTAGCCAAATGGCAATGGCAACCATTTATGATAGGGTTGCAGCATTCTCCCTCCCCCACCCCCACCGCCCCACAAATAAAAATAAAAATAAAAGAATAATACACACCAATGTCAAATGAAACTAATGAAAGCAAGATTGATTTGTTTACATTTTTACAGCTGAAATTCTATTTAGAATTTAGTACGAGAATTCCACAAATAATTTGTATCTTACCAAAGTAAAATCTCTACAAGTCTTCTAAATGAAAACTGTTTGGATGTCTGCTAAAAACCAGGCATCCAAATGGATTACTAATTTAGGATCTGATCATGTAATGTTCTTTGCCTCAACTTCCATTGCAATCAGTGAGCGACTAAAAGGTGATTATAACACACAGAATCAGGTTTTCAGAGTAGATGTGGGGCAGTTACCTTAAATGGTTGAGTTATCGGCCATAGGAAATTCTTGATATCTTTTATTCTTTGTTGACCCTGTTTTTTCAGGGTTAGGAAACTCAAGGAAGCATACATGAAAATGTAGTATAATGGCTCTTTCAAGTGATGGTGTTATCGAACAAAAGTGTAACTTTTAAAAATCTTCCATGCATTTAAAAACCACTACAAGTTGAACCTCTCTAGTCTAGCACACTCTGGTCCGGCAACATCCATAGTCTGGCATGATTTTAGTTTGTTGGCTGTCAACTTTTCATGGGTATGGCCAGCTTTCCCTTGGTCCTGTAAAATTTGTTCATAGCCATCAGTTCCGGCGCTCAGCGTTCTGTGCTATTATTTGGCTCTAAATTACCCCTAAATGTCTAAGTGACCAGCAAGCAATGGAAGTGCTTGTAATGCTGCTAAGCCTAAGCATGTGTTTTATGCTTTATCTACTTGTTGCCTTATGGCCAATACAGTGGAATTGTGTAACAACACTTAACACTTTATTATGAAGAGAGTGGATAAGCCTTAGCAAGGAATAGGCTTATATAGGATGTATTAATACAGCTATACATTATTAAGTGCCATTGAAAGCATTGCTTCCATCTATTTACCTCAGTGAAATAAAAATAGAGACCCACTCTCTATTGACCTTCCCATGGTTTGTCATTGGTCAGGTCCCCAAGGGGCCAGACTAGAGGTGTTTAACCTGTATAAGGTCCCCTGTTCTGCACTGTTATGCTTTGCACACTATGTAGGATAATGAACTAAGGGTTAGTGTACTTGAAATTGTAAGTTCTTGCTTTCCTGTTTTTAAATCTATATTAAAAAATGTGAGCCAAATTAGATTTTGATGAGTGTTACAGCAATCTAACAGGTTTTGAGGGAATAATTATGCTATCTATTTTCCCTTGCTTTTTAATTTTTCCTCTGTGTTCCCTCTGAAGAATAGTGTACATATTAACTAATAATTTTAAGACTATAAGCAGTTGACGTGATTTTTCTACAATTGTAGAAAAGTCAGTCAGTGATCTGATGTATTATACTGTAAATTGGAGACGTCAGGTTGATATATTAATTATAGGTGAATTTTTAAATTTTCTTCAAAGTACTGCAGGTATATGCTGAAACTGTTTCTTTATATCATACCTAGCACTTCATTGCAGATGCTTTTGTGCATACATTTTGCTAACCCTTTTAAGGCAAGTATTTTGCTGAAGCTAATTATTTCCCGGAGGTCTCAAATAATGTTTGCCATGTCTGTTGAAGTACTTTACTAAGAATTACATTACGCACTCCTTCTCTATCTTTAATCTATAGCATCTACTTGTTTACATTGTTTGTGCTACATTTTAGAGCCCTGCAAATCCACAGGAATTTTTTCTATATACATGGACAGTTTTTGTGGATTCTGGATAGGGTTGCCAACTCCGACTAATGATATTCCAGGAGGTTTTTTCCCCCCTACGTGATATAATCATATCCTATTAAAATCCCCAGCATTGCTTTCAATAGTCACTGGGAGATTAGTGACCAGAGAGACTCCAGGCCATCCTAGAAATTTGGCAATCTTAATCCTATATCAGATGCATATACAAATATATCCATGTTGCATGTTACTTAGAGAGACAGGTACCACTTACATCACCGTTTTCTTTGAAAGTAGAGTTCTATATTCATCACCCCACATCCTTATCACCAAAGCACTAATGGAATTATAATTCTAAGATGTGAAAAATGTATTCCTCTTGATAGGGCAGGATAGTAGCCATTGGGGTCATGGATGTTTGTGAAAGGATTAAAATAAATACCTGAAAGAGAGGAAGAGGGAAAGAATTGACTGAAAACTGTCACCAAAATCTCAAGTATATGAAATAGACTGATAGCACTGTGGTAAAATAGATTACTGAATTGAATTGCAAATATAATTGTGACTTATTTTCTATAAGATAATGTGAAATGAGTGAACACAGAATAGGAGGGATTTTGTTTATTTGTTGTTCAGATATGAAAGGGCAAATGAGTTACCACAATTTGTGCTCTCTTTGTATGTAATAGCAACTGGAAAGAGTTATCAATTTTCTATATTTCTTTCAAAAATCTAGGTGATTTTAGGCATGCAAAACAGTTGGTATTTGTATATGATTCATTCTGATCATGTTTTACACATTATTTGTAGGTCTAAGTACTGTAGTATTACCAGATGCATATCAGAATTGTCTGAATACATCATTGCCATGTATTGTGACGAAAGATTAAGAGTATCTTTTAACAATGACAATTACTCTGTTCACTGGGTGGTGGGAAATAGAAGATAATTAGACTTTTGTAGAAAATTTTAATTTGTCAAAGAAACAGTAACAATATAATCACATCAGCTTCTATGAGGTCCATAGTATAAGGATATATTTAATTCTTTCATTGTCATTGTTACTGCAGAAGAATTTTATGTAGACTTAGCTTTATCTGTTATTCTAGTCTTATTTCTATGCACGCTAACTGCATTTTAACCTGCTCTTTTCCTTTCCTTTTTCTTTCTTTTGCATGCTTGCTTTTCTCTCCTTTGAACATTAGGAGCAAAAGCGTATAGATGGCACAACCCGTGAGGTGAAAAAGGTTAGAAAAGCCAGGAACAGGCGCCAGGAGTGGAATATGATGGCATATGACAAAGAGCTTAGGCCTGACAACAGGTTGTCTCAAAATGTGTACCATGGAGCATCTTCAGAGGGATCACTGTCCCCAGATACTAGGTCTGTTTCCAACAAGCCCTTTGCTATATCACAGTTACATGTTCAGAGATTGAGCAGCCTTAGATTAAGAATGTAGCAGTATAGAAAAGACACAATACATATTTTAAACTTGTTCTCAAAATACTTCGAAAGCAATGTGAAATTTAAGGAATATGTACTAATTACTTTAAATTTCTGTGCATCAATTTCTTATGATTTTTGTTGTCAAATCTTTAATCATTGTATTGAACTTGCATGATGGTGTTTGCTACTTATTTTATTTTTGCATTTTGAACAGGTATAATGGAAGAAAGATTTAGACTTGTATTTAACCAGTATGTCTTCCTTCATTTTGACCTTATACATTTTATTGGTTCTGACAGTACATGTTGTTTCTCTGTGCAAGATGACTGTTAATTATTTCAGGATCTAGTCATATGTCAGATTTTTCTGTTGTTTTTCTGTGTTAATGAGAAATCTTTCAGGTAACTGGTGGTGAAAAATAGTTTCGCCTTTAGTGGGATACTGTAATTGAGGGACGGTTCTTTGTTCTACTTTTTTATAAAATCAAGCTTCAAAACCAGATGCATCGTTATTGCTTAAAACAAGTCACTTTGAACAAAAATCTCCTGCCGGGTCCACACAACAGAACTCCTCTTCAGTTTTCTGCTCCCTCCATGTGCATGAAACTCCCTTTGAGCTCAGCGGGAGATTTGTATACAAAGGGAGAGCCAGACATCTGAGTCTCTTCAATTGGATCTACGTAAAAAAAAAGTCCCTAAATGTTTGTTTGAGTGCTTGCTCATATCCATTCCAATTAGGTGTGTGCATGCTCCAAGCATGACTGCCAGAAAGTTTTTTACCCTATCTGCTAGTCATCATCTTGACTGTGAATGCCCCCTGAAATGTGGCATCCATGCAACGTCTTATATATGACTCTGATGACCTGGCTCCTCCTTAGTTCTGTCTTACCGCCAGTCGTGACGGTTGGAACTTTTGGCTTTCTTGCTTTGCAAGTGCCATTCATTCCTAACTAGTTGTAGCTAGTTCGTTTGTTTAACAGTAGTTAAAAGATAGCCAGCTAAGTATTTAGCAGTAGGAGCAAAAGGGCCTTCCCTTCTCTCCCATGTCCCTTGGGAGACTTGGGGCATGCCACAGCTCCGGGACTTTAAGCACTACAACTATTGCTTGAAACACATGCCAAAAAGCATCCCTGACATCTCCTGTCTTTGGTGTCTGGGGGAATCTCATCAACCAGATAAATGCAAAATCTGTGCTGCTTTTAAACCTCGTGCTAGAATGGAGGTTTTACTTTTGTTTGGAGTAACTTCTTATGGAGGCCACCCTGAACCTTATCACCTGGACCTGGCACCAAGCACCTCAGTCCGCAGCACACAATCCTTGGTACCGGCATTGATGCTGCAGAAGTCTGTCTGTCGGTTGCCCCCCTCCCCACTCCCCCGGCACAGGAAGTCCCTGAAGGTCTCTGCTTGGCAATGTTCTCATTCACTGGCACAACTCCAAGGTGGCCAAGTCCACTCTGGCACCGCTGCTGTTCCTCGGACCCACTCCATTGACATCCATGACTGTCAAAGACTCTCTGTGCTATGGTCCCTATAGTCTTGGACTCTCCCAGGGCTGAGACAGTGCCTGTGGGCCTGTCCTCCATGCTGGACATCTTTTGAAGCTTCTTGGGGTCATCTCAATGAGGCCCCATCTCCTGCTGCTCGACAGATGCCTGGCTCTGCAGCAGACCTCTCAGGGAAAACCTGCTATGTTGGGCCCTCTTGCATGTGTCTCAGAGTCCCGGTGCTGCTCAAGAGTCCCAGCACTGCTGGTCCAACTTGTGACCCTGGTCTGACTCTCAACATCCTGTTCACCAATCCTCTTGGAGCTGCTCCCTGCTCAAGAGCCTCCTTGCTAAGCTGTTCCTGATCCAATTCGGTGTGTTCTTGACACACTGACCAGTCCAGAAGTGACCAGTGCTGTGGAACTCCGCACCGGTATGGTTCCATTTCCCGTCTCGATGCTGCCATCCCATTCGGAGTTCTTTATGGCTTCACACGTTGTCCCAATGTCACTTCTTGGATCATGTGTCATTCAGCTGGCACCGTGCTTAGGAGCATTCCTGGCGTGGCACCAGTCATCGCCATACCTTCTTCAGCACCAATCCCATTCCGGTCGCCTCTCCCAATCTCAGCATTGGCACCAGTCCTGGTCCTGTTCTCCGTGTAGTTCTCTGTCTTGATCCTGGCTCCGATCCCTGTATCAATGCCCTTCTTCACGGGTTCTGTCGAGGTCTCCACATTGATTATGTTGCATGGCTGATCCCCCTCCCAATAGATAGCACTGAGCGTTCTTTCCTTTGCTACAAAATTGGCAGCACCTTAGCCATCTCGTTCAGGCATGCCAGCATCATCCCAGAGGGAACTCTGTGGGCTCAACTTGGTCCACATCTGTTGTCCCCGCTTTCTGGAGGTTGCTGGTCCCACAGTGGCCATCTCAGTGGTAGTTTTGGATTCCGTGGGTGTACCACCAAGCCCAGGGCTCCTTTCCAGCTGGGCCTCTTATCAGCCTCCTCCAAACCCAGAGTTCCAGAGGCAACGGTTAGCTTCCCCATGACCCTGCTCTGCCTGTGGCGCCCCCTGAAGCTCCTGAAGTTTAGCCTAAACCTCCAGACGGAGATGGCTGAGCAGCATGACACCATCATTGACATCATGACCACAGAGGTACTGTCTGGGGTGGTCCTTTCTATAATTAAAACTACTATGGAAAATGCTAGTGTCCATCCCACCTATGGGAAAGAGGGTGGAGCACAAATACTTTGTGCCAGTTAAGGGGTTTGAATAACTCTTCACCCACCCACCCTCCCTGCTCTTGTTGTGGAGGCGGTGAACGAAAAGGCATGCCAAGGCCGCTAGGCCCTGGCTCCTAAGTCTAAGGACACTAAGCGTCTTGCCCTTTTTTGCTGAAAGATCTACTCCATGGTGGGGAGGGAAGGGAAGGTGTCTGCTGCTGTGTGTTGCTAATCAGCAGGTTATCCTGACCCTGTACAATGTTATTGCCTGGTCTTCCCTCCTGAAGTTCCAGGACCAGCTGCCCCAGGGCTCCTGTAGTGAGTTTGCGCCACACATCCAGGATGGGAAGGCAGACTCCCTGACCAGAATTCAGGTCTTCTGAGATGCCGGGGACTCAGCTGCCCAGGTCTTGGCTTCTGGTTTTGCCATGAAGTGTGTGCCATGACTGCAGCCTTCGGGCCTTTCCCCAGAGGTGCAACAAATTATAGAGGACATTCCCTTTGATAGAGTTGACCTTTTTGCTGAACAGAGTAAGTCTTATCTTCGCAGCCTCAAAGACTCTCGTAACAATGACGTTTTTGGGCATGCCTACCCTGGCAACACAAAGATAGACCTTCAAGCTGCAGCCTCAGCGGAGGCCCTTTCTGTGGGCGTACCACTAACCCTCAGACCTGCACTAATTTTTCTTGTTGGCTGCCTTGTTATTACTGCTGCAAATCACCTGGTTCAAGCTAGCCCTTTGAAGGTGTGCCCAAGTATGGAGTGCTGATGTAGCCTGATCCTTTCCCCTTCTGAGACAAAATATCCTGTTTCTCTTATGCCTGGTCCTGAATCACTTCAGACGGCTAGGTCCTCTGAACAGAGGAGATGGGCTAGTTGATACCTTTCCTCTCCCACCCTTTCTGCCCACCCCTCTTCACGGACTCTTCTTGTATTGAGGGGCTGTGGAGGAGCTTCCTCATTAATTCTGGGGCAGGGGTTTTTATTGTCGTTATTTGCTCGTCCCCAAGCCTCTTCGGCAGCATTCCTGGCAAAGCGGCAGAGCTGCTATATGGTCATTGGTGCATATCTTTGCTTTGCACTATGCTATTGTGCAACTGTCATGACAGAATGCAGCTTTTGGTACTGCAGTTTTGGAGTCAGCCAGACTGTAGCTCTGACCCACTCCTCCTGGGTATTGACCTGTGAATCACCTATTTGGAATACATATGAGCAAGCACTCGTACAAGAAAAACAATTACTCACTGTTGTAACTGTTCTTCAAGATGTGTTGCTCATATCTCTTTCATACCTTACCATCCTTCCCCCTCGGTTGGAGTAGCCAGCAAGAAGGAACTAAGGAGGGGCCAGGTTGGCAGGGTCATATGTAGGGCATTGTACCGGTGCCACTCCAGGGGGCTCCACAGCTACCCAACACACCCCTAATTGGAACAGATATGAGCAACACATCTCGAAAAACAACCATTACAATGGTGAGTAACCATATTTCTGTGTAGTAGTTAATTGATAGAAGGAAGAAATTGGAATCTAACAAAAAGCCAAACTATTTCACAATTCCAGTAAGTGTTTAGTTTGTTTACTTTCCATGGCCATTGGGCAACCACCACTGAGCAAGAATGTATTGATATTTTCAGTTCACTGTATAGTTGTGATTAATGAAGGGGAGTCTGCTCAGAACTTTGTTTATTCAGTATCGAGTGTGTTTTGTTTGCTGTGGTCTTCTGTCAGATGAAGTTGACTCCTTGGAAACCAGTAAGAATGTTTGCTGTTCTTTCTATCAGTGTTAAATTTCAAGAATATTCATCCTTTTCCTTTGCTTGTTGGTAATTTAACAGTTTTAGTTTACCATAATTTCTAATGCCAAAAGGGTGTCCTGCTAATAATTCTATTTTTTCTTTTTATTCAAAGTTCTTTTAAGTTAGCATTTTCAAAATGTTGATCTGAATCTTGCTTGAACTTAGTGCCAGGTAAGAATTTGGGTGCCTTGTACAGTAAGGCAATGGAGGGGAGGCTCCCACCTTCCCAGGTGGGAAGCCATAGGACAAGGAGGTTATTCCAGAGCAAGTTCTCCTACAGTCATCCTGTTCAGCCCCTGTCCCATGTGACTGATTCAGCTCCCCATTTTGGCCTGTTAGCTAACATCACAGCATGTAAACAGGTCCTTCTCTTTTCTTCACCCTGCCCTACTCTACCCCCTCCCTGGCACTGGCAGGTGTGTGTGTGTGTGTGTGTGTGTCTTTTCACACCCCATTTTGTTTGGAGGGAGGGACCTGAGATGGGGATCCTGTGCAAGTTTATTAAGGGCACATTGGTTAATTGAACCAAGCCTAACTGAACAGATCAGATAACATCAGGGCCCTTTATGCAACTACAAGATGTAGGTTCTTTGCATCTTTGAGCTTTCTTCCTTCACACATTCTAAGTCTTTCTTTTTGCCCTTTATTTCCCTGTAATGTCAAAATGTGTTCCATCACACACTCTAGGCAGACTTTTGTGATGTGAAGAAAGCAACCTCAAAGAAATAAGTTGCAATGTGAAACTTTCCCTAAGGAGGAACTGTGAGGTCCTTCAGCTATGATCTGGATTATTTTGGTGTGGGTGGTGCCAGGAGGGTGGTTAGTAGTATCAAGCTGGTTATGACATTATACCATCTCTTGTTACAGATTTTAAAATGCTTATAGTAATGTGAATAATCAATATTGCATGGTACAAATACCTGATTGTATTGCAAAGTCTAGAGAGACAAGGCAAGTGAAGTCATAACTTCTGTTGGACCAACTTCTGTTTGTGAGAGACACAAGCTTTTAAATAACACTGAGCTTTTCTTCAGGTCTTGGAAAAGTACTAGTGTCATTGCTAAATACAAGATGAGTCAGGTAGCTTAGCATAAGGAGTTGGCACATACGCTATTTGTTTGGTCTTGCATTTTGGCTGTGACACTCCACTTTTCCCGGGCCTGAAGAACAGCTCTGTGTAGCCTGAAAGCTTGACTGTCTCACTAACAGATGTTGGTTCAATGCAAGATATTACCTCAGCCGTCTTGTGTGTCTGATATCCTGGGATTGACATGGCTACAATAATACCACATTGCAAAAATCTGCAGTTCAACTGTGGGTTAGTGTGGTAGGATGAAGAAGATTAGTAATTTGTATAATGCATCCTTTTAACTTTGATCTACCTTGTGAATGAAGCTATAAAAGTAGAAATGAATCAAGTTCTCACAAAAGTGGTCTTATGGTGATGCGTGCAAATAGAAAGTTTATTTATAGACACTATTTGTAGGCTAACTTAGGACATACAAACCTTTTGAACTTCGTTGTACATTTTTGTAAAATACAAAGTATGAATAGAAGCACATCTATCTTATAGTTTAATATAGAGTTTAGGTAATTAAAAAGCCTTTGTGAGTATGCTGTCCCAATCAAAGCCATAAAGTTTGAAATCCAAGTTACCAGACTGTGTGTGCCTATTACAATTCATTTGTTACACCTGTTGTACTTCAGAGAGAGAGACACAAGCTGAATCCAAATAGAAACCAGCAAATAAATGTGAGAAAAGTAAGAACAAGAAAAGAAGAGTGGGAAAGAAGGAAAATGGGCATTGAGTTCATGAGTGACGCAAAGAAACTGGAGCAGGCAGGAAGCATGAAAAAGGACAAAATGCCCAAAGGGTGTGTCATTTTGTTTTATTCAAAACCCTGGCTTTTTGTTGCTTGCCTTGTTTCCAGTCTAAGAGATGATGTGCATCATTTTGCTGACTATCTGTTTTAACCAAGTGACAGGCTGCACGACTGTTACTAATGCAGTACAGCTGTGTGCAGTTATGGGATGAAGAGATCCTTTTGCTTCCTCTCTTGGGTTTATTTGACAAAACATCATAGACTTTGCATCTTTATGAACTCTCTGCTAAACTAATATTTGCATTTTTCAATCTCTCTCCGCCTTTCCAATCAAACTACTTACACAAAGAAAGCTTTTAAAGATTAAGCTTTTGAAATTAGCGCTCTGCTTTGGTAAAATATATTTTCTGTATAACTGACTTCTTCTATTGTTGCTTTCTTTTTCTGCTTTCTGTTAATACCTAGCTGGTTACCCACAGTTATTAATTGTGTGTTGTCAAAAAAAATCAATGTTTTCTTGCAACTAGGAGAAAAAAAAGCTAATATTGTTTTTGCTTTTGTAAATTAATTTGATTTGTTCTACAATATTTTGTCAGTTAATATGCCAAAAGAGCAAAAAGATACAAACCCTGCAGATTAAGATTTAGTTTGTGTATTCTGGTTTGTACAAATTAATTTATTTTGAAATAATTTCATTGCTGCTGGTGTAGTTTTCATCACCTGACACATGCTTGATAATGAAAATAGGGAAACTCTTTACAAGAAAAGTTATTCCCTGTGTAGTCATTAGCTTTACTGCTTAGCTGTTGAGACAGCATTCTGCTACACTCATTTGTTCTGTTCATCCCATCCCATTTCCTTTAGGTCCCATGCGTCCGATGTTACCGATTATTCTTATCCTGCTACTCCAAATCATTCCCTTCACCAGCAACCAGTGATGTCTTCATATGGATCAGGAGATGGACCACAGTATATGGGTGTAAACCAGGGTCTTGAGCATGAATATAGACCATCTTCTATCACAGTGCGGCATGCTACCTTAAATAGACCTCAACAACCACCTCCACCTCCACCCCAGGCCTCAGAGGGCCCACACAGCTCTGTACCTTTGATACCAGCAGACTATGGGTAAAACTTCTGATTTACTGGTGGCTTCTTGGAAAGACTAATAGGATGTGCATTTGTCATCATCATAATACAGTACTTAAGAGTTGTTTTACATGTTCAGAACTCTATACAAACATAACTAACTCTGTGAACACTTCAGTAAGGTAGGAAGAAGAAAATTTGCTGATTTGAAAAGCATATTTAACAGTGAGAACTGAATGGAGAAGGAGAAATGTCAAAACCTAAAATACAGAATAATATTTAATATGGCTTCGTTGATATGACTGTAAAATATGAAAAGCTTCTCAGTGCATTGCTGAACAAAGTGATCATGGTAAGGTTTTTTTATGTGAGGAACACTAGTTAGAGTAATGCACTGAAAATATTCCAAATTTCAAGAAAAAAAGGAAATAGATGCATATATTAATGACATTTCCCACATCACATGTGAGAGGTTAAAATGATTCTTTAGAAGCAAATACTTCTATTATCTACTTCACCAGGATATTGAGAATCATACAGTATTTGTAAAAGCTCTTTGAATATGAAAAGTCATATTTAGTATTTTCTCTTAATGTCAGCTGCCTGGATAACAATATAATACTACCACTTGGTATTCACAATATTCTCTATGTGAAAATCTAAGGAATTTGCTGGGGAAAGCTACGGAGAGTGAATTAATGGTACCTGAGGCAAAATAAGCACATTTTTTAAAGGGTGACTACTGAGTAAATGCTAAGTGTTTACTTTTCTGAAATGACTGAAGTAGTTATTCTTCTTACTGACACACATTTCAGTTCTTTAAGGTTATATTTGTTTTTTGTTTTGTTTTTTAAATACAGAATGCTCCCAGCTCAGATGGTGGATTATTATAATCCTACTGGACCGCCCTCCACTCCAGTTCCCCCTATGATTCCTTCAGCCCAAACTGCTTTTGTTAGTCCTCTTCAGCTTCCTATGCCACCTTCCCATTCTGGGTTAGTGACCGGATCTACCTATGCTGCCGCTGCTGCTGCTCCTTCTTCTGTGCTTGTCACAGCTTCCCCTCCCCCTGGCCCACCTCCTCCCCCACCAGGTCCTCCTACTACAGGTGCATCTCTCACATCCTCCCCAATGCATGCTTTTCCAGTTTCAGAGGCAAAACGACATGAGCCCACACAGCCGCCAATCAGCGATGCTCGAAGTGATCTTCTTGCTGCTATTCGAATGGGTAAGTGAGCAGAGAATTTCACACCTATTCCTTTTATACACAGTGAGACAACTGCAATTTGTGTTCATGGCTGCTGTTACCAACAAGCCACAATTTTGTCTTTATAATTTTCTGAGAGAAATACTTCACTACAATTGGGCAAGCCTTGGGATCTTGACAGTCCGTGCTCTTTGGACATGAAGTATGGTGTGCCTCTACTCAGTGTTAAATCTCCTTGAAAAACCTGAGGTGCGGTCTGTACACCAAGTCACATGTTCCAAAGTTATAACTGATTTCAGATTAATTCAGGTGCTTGTTTAAATGAAGTCAAATGAAAACTTTTACTTATCTTCAGTATATGAAGTAGCCATTTAAAAAAGTGTGAGGGTTCCATGGGGTCCCTTGTAACGTACTGGAATCAATGCTTGGTTTTCACAGTTATTTCATTTGACTTTTTTAACACTTAAAATATTTTGTAAGCAGGTGCTACAGTCTTCATTCGGTTATGCTTGCTTTAAAAAACATAGTTTTAAAATCATTCCTATGAAAGTGCTCTATAGTCTTTTGGAGCTTTAACTTAAACCGTATCCAGCTATTTTGCAAATGTTATGGGCACATGGTCTTGGAAAGACTGATTTCAGTCTGCTTTGTGTGTCTGTCTTAATCAAGAAAGTTTTCATGACTTCCAGTCTCTTTTTCCTTCACACCTGTGGGTTGTGTGTCAACTTAAAATATAACATGCAGCAACAACCTATTTTATATGCAAAGAAAAGTTTCTGAAAATAATTGTTTTCCTTTCTATAGGAATTCAGCTGAAAAAGGTACAAGAGCAACGTGAACAAGAAGCAAAGCGAGAACCTGTTGGAAATGATGTGGCAACTATTCTTTCAAGGCGCATTGCTGTGGAATACAGCGATTCTGATGATGATTCAGAATTTGATGAAAATGATTGGTCAGACTGAGACCTGCTCCAGTGCAGGAGCAGAATTCATGAAATGTTTTGCTCCAATATTCACACATTTAGCAGGACAGGAGGCAGTGTGTTGAAATGTATTAAAAACTAGAAATCTAAGTACTAAAAATGAGTCGGTATTCAGAATGCTGTAGCTTAGCACATTTTGTAATGTGATTATGCCGATGCAGATCCCAAAGTTGAGTCTTATTTTCAGTATTTACTGCATAATACATAAGTGCCACTAAATGTAGCAAATCGTGCACTGCATGCAAAGTAGGCTGCAGTTGCACTGTTACAAAACCAGCATTTTGTTTTACTTTATTGATCATGAACTTATGGAATATATTTTTACTTTACATCTTATTCTTTATAATTTTGCAAACTCAGTACTTGTGAAACTGGCTGTTAGTCATGAGGACTTTTAGAAGATTCAGTGATACATGACTGGGCAATGTCTTCAAGTTCTTAAGTCATCTTAACATTTTTCAGAAATCAGTCATGTCAACCTTAAAATATAACAGACATCAACTAAATGTTGTCTTACTAATACCAGTTTTAAGTAATTTTTTTGATTTAGTTGGTTATGTTGTTTTAATCTCCTTTACAAATTCCATCCATTGAAAACTCATTATTAAAATGTAAGTTTGAAGAGTATATTCACAAAATTCACTAGTTATTTTTGATAGGGGACTGGATTGCCCAGTCAGTAATGGGAAGTTGCTAGATGATGATTTGACAGTAAAATAACAATGTGGTCTCAGTTCACTATGTTGTAGACACATGTTTATATTATAAAAACCACAGTTGGAATTGAGGTTCTTTGTGGCTGGCTGTGGACATGGCTTGACTTTTACTTGAAGATTGAAGTGCCATGTTAAATTTAGGAGTAGAAACCTGGGTGGAACCACGTGGTTAGTACAGAGTGGAAAGCTTACTCTCCTACTGCTAATTCTGTGTCTATTATGTGGATGAAAGAGCAACCTCGGTTTAATGCTAGCAATTGAATAAATTTTACAAGTACTACATTTAGGTTTTTTTATTCCTGTCGATATAAATGCATGTAGATAGGCTTTTGCTTATATGGTATGTGTATAATCATGTAATATCATTGCAGTTTCTTATAACTTTTTCATTCAAGGCCCTTGATTTTTGAATATATTTCCAGCCCAGTATGTCCCATTTATATAACACTGACAATTAAAACAGCTTGATTGGTGTTTCATTACCATGCTGTATATCTTTTCAGTTTCTTCTAGAAAAGAAGGCTGCCATATGGTCAGCTTTTGCTTTCTCAGTATATTCTCTTGAAAAATAATTCATGCTTTATTCCGTACAGAATTGAAACTTGCATATTTTTCCTTGTGTACATTGTGCGTCAGACTGCTTCCTTGCCTTTTTATGGGGTGTGTGTGTGTGAGGGGAAAAGGTTGGTCTTTTTTTTCCTCACCAGATTACAATTTTAATCTTTGTAGCAGAAGAGATCTGTATAATTCCAGGTCAAATATTTAGTAAAGCTCTTTTGTTCTGCAAGGCCCTTCTGTTCTTAAGAAGGAAGGGAAGGAAGATCATGCAACTAACCTTTATCCTCATCCACTCTGAACACAACAGTTTTTATTTTTGTCCAAAGAAAATAATATTCAGCCAATCACAATATTCCCGTACTAAAATATTGGCTGCCTCATTGCTCTTTTAATCTGCATGTGAGTTTCTGAGTTGACTTTGATTTATAGTACAGTGGCAAAAATGCCTCTGCCTCTGTGTTTGTGTTTTTCTGCCCATTAAGGGCCTTATCCTGTAAGAAGCTGAACAGTGGTGAGCAGCCACAACTCTCATTAGCCAATGGGAAAGGAGGGCACTCAGCATGTTACAGGATTGTTTTTGCCTTAAAACACAGGGCTAAATTCCATTTCTGGTCTGGTGGGTTCCCTATTAACACAAGAAATGTTATTTGTGTTGGTCATAAGGATATAATTGATATACAGTGGCTTGCAAAACTGACCAAAATGATGCTGTGGGTGAACAAATAGAATGGATAAAAGTTCAACTAATATTGCAGTATTATCTAGTGTCACTATATGGGTGGAAGAGCTACTTTCAATATTCTTTTGACATGTGTTATGGTAAAATATTATGACATCACAATTCTTTCCATTATAAGGAAATTTGATATGACAAAATATATTTTATGAGCACAGAGACTGTGTACACCATGGAAATTTTGTAACATGCGTCAATTAGTTTTAAACGATGAATATAGAACCAAGAGATACTTTGTGATCAATTAAAGGTAACTAGAATTTTTCAGCCATTGTAGCCAATCTGTTTTTCTAAACTTGGAGTATTTTGTCATCTCTGTTCAGTATTTTATCAATAAAAATTTAAATTGAATTTAGTGATGTAAACTAACTCGGTCTTAGGTAATTTTTATCTGTTTGTATATCTTACTCTGGGTTCTATAAAAATAACAAATATGAATAAAGTATCACTTTTGCGCTTTTGTGTTTCTTTCTGTAGAACACAATCCATGAATCTGGCTGCTAATTTATTTTAGCTTGATTTGTTTTTGGTTTGCTAAATAACATAAATGACAGCCTGATACTTTTGAACTGCTATGTAATAGTTACGCCTCACTTTTTTGTAAAGATGGTCTAATCAGGATTCTTGTTCATCAGTTTTATAGTATTTTTGTTTCTACCAACTTGTCCTATATGTATAGCTGCTCAGAAAACTGTCTATTTTCCAGTTGCCAAAAAAGCATAATTTAATAGCAAATACTGAAAAATGCAAATAGTATGGGATATCTTTGTTGCAAAGGAAAATGGCTTTTTAATTGAATTAATAATTAGTATAGTGAAGAGATTCCCTTTTACGTTAGTTTCAGAGAAGACATTCAGGAATTTGTGCATACATACTCACAATGTGGATAGTCTGCTAAATCATTTTGACCTCTAATTTGAATCAGTGGTTATACTGGGCAAGGGAAGCAATGGGTATATTGTACTGCTACAAGCGTCTGCCACAGCCCCATAGACACCACTCTCTGGAACCAGGTGTACTGTTTGGAAGAAGTCTGTCTATAGTTGGCTGCCATTCCTCTTTTGAAAGCAAACTCTTGTTGGCACAGCATCTTCTCCTAGCCTGCGGAGGAGGTGGGGTGCACGGCCACCATGATTTAAGCAAGAATCAGTTGTTAACTCACTAGTCAATGTCATCTTCAATGCTGGCACTTCTGCCTCACTTCCAGTCTTGGTGACAAAGGTTTGAGCTGCCTTTAGAGCTGAAGAAGCTTCCAGGTGGCCCATCACCTCAAGCAGTGATTGTAGTTTAACTTGTCTCTCTGCTAGAATGGCACAGTTCAGCACCTTTCCATCACCATGTGAAGAAGTGGTGAATGGTAATTTGGACCATGTGTACACTACAGGGTAAAGTTGAATTTCTTAAGGTTGATGTCTTACCACCTGATTTTTGTAAAGTTGAAAGTCCATGTCCCCACTGTGCAGAAGAATTCAGTGTAGTTTGAAGTAGTGGGTTCCCAGTAGGGCAACTGCTGTTAACTTGGAGAGCAATGCACTATGGGTAGCTATCTTACAGTGCCTGCACCACGTGGCATTCTGTGTTATGCTACTGGTAAACTTTGGGACCAAAACTGTGCAGTGGGTGGTTACACGTTCATGTTGTCAGCAGCCCATAATGTGCTCGTCTTCTCCTTCACCCTTTGAGCTCAACAAGAAACAATCTTTTCACGCTCTTTTTGGTCCTGGTTACCCATGCAGACACCATAGCAGCATGAGCATGGACACTCTGTGCCTCAAAACCTTATGATGTTGACCTTGGTGCACCTATGGTGGACTATGTCAAGAGTGTTTGCATGGCACTCCAACAAAAGGACAAATCTCAGGATGCTGGGGACACACTGTTCATGCAAGCCCTTGAATTGAGTGAATTAGAAATGCTGCCAGCATTTGATCCTCTCTACACAGTGGAATCGTAGTTCTGGTGCCTTCAGACAAGCACAGACTGGTGATTGCACATGGTGCTGCAGCTAGGCGACAAGAACATAAACTTCCATAACGCTATATCTCACTGCCATAAAGTTGACCATGCCAGGTCAAATTTAGCATTACTCCTCATGCAAAGGAGTACCAAAACCTTAAAGCTGACCCAACAGGCTTGGTATAGTATTCAGAAAATTGAACTTAGGTGGCTAAATTCGACCTAAACTCCTAGGCTACGTCTACATTGGCATAATCTTGCACAAATACTCAATGCAAGAACTCTTGCGTTAAAGTATTTGCACAAGAGAGCAGCTACACTGGCATGTGCCTTTGCACAAGAGATGTGCTTTTGCGCAAGAGGATCCATGCCAGTGTAGACGCGCTCTTGCGCAAGAAAGCTCCGATGGCCATTTTAACCATCAGGCTTTCTTACACAAGAAATTCATGTTGCCGGTCTACACTGGCCTCTTGCACAAGAACAGTTGTACAGGAGGACTTTTTCCTGAGCGGGAGCATCATAGTTCTTGCGCAAGAAGCACTGATTTCTTACATTAGAACATCAGTGTTCTTATGCAAGAACTCCCCGCCAGTGTAGACAGGCAGCATGTTTTTGCACAAAAGCGGCCGCTTTGACGCAAGATCATGGCAATGTAGACACAGCCCTAATGTAGACCAGGCCTTGGTTATTCTCTTAGCTGCAATCATAGCAAGGCTTCTTGTATGCTGCAGCTTGACTTTGGCGATGCTGATACAGTGAGGGACTCCTAGATGAGGGAATATCAGCGTTTTAAAAAAAGGCAGTTTTGCAGCCATATACTGCACTATTAATTCAAACTTTGATTTCAAATAATGCTTAGGGGAGATTTCAGTATATTTCAGGTGGCACAAGTAATTCATAAAAGAGTAAGTTAATGTACCAAAACATTTTGTTCTGGAGCACGTTAGCCAAAGTTTTTGTTGGGTGGAAAATTAATACTTGTCATCTAAGAGTTCAATTGTGCAAAGTATCTGTGTTTTCTCAGACCATGGTTAAACCTAACATGTTTCCAGCAGTTCAGGTTTTAAATTAGAGCTTGGAGTATAAATGTATAGGTTTTAAAGACCATTATGATCATCTAGTTTCAGTTTTTCATAACTGAAAGCCCCTGCATCCTCACCCAGTGAGTTGTGCATAAAGCCCATAATGGCTGAGCTATAGTGTATCCTTTTAGAAAGATACCTGATCTTGTTTTAAAGACTTCAAGTAATGGCGAATATATCACATTTCAAGGTAACTTGTTCTAATGGCCTCATTGCTCATTGAGCAGTGTGGGGCTGTCTGGCTTATCAAGATGTATATGGTCCCTTTCAGGGCTAGAGAGCTAGATTGACTGGCAGTGGCTGCTTCACCGATAGGTCAACATGGACCTTGACCCATCCTCCTGCAGGCGGCTAGATGAGAAGACCGGGCTATTTAAGGCCATGCTAGTGCAGGAAAATCCCTCTTTTACCTGCATCTGATGGAATAGTGGGACCAGTGGCACAGGCAGCTTTGCTCTCCCTTGGCATTAGTTGATAGCAGATTGGAGAGAGAGAGAGAGCGAGTATGTGACCCCATCAGTGGTCACTGTTACCTGTCAGATGTTAAATGGGAAGTGTGGGAAAATGAGTATGGGATCACATCACCCTAATGGTAACAAATATGAACCAGCCTATGAACCTCAAATATTTTCCTAAGAACAGATGAACTCTAGGTGATCTTTTGATTTATTTCCCAAGAGAACTGATGGAAGACATTTATTGCTATACATAAGGTAAGCAAATGATGGGGGAAAATAGAGAATAAGAATAATCCTACTCTACTCCCAGTAGTTATATGGGGAAATAGCTGAAAAGATTTAACTAGATCTTCTCAATCTCTCCTATGATTTGAAAGCAGCTGAATGTCAACCAATCCTGATGGCTCCTTAATCTTCAGTTTCTGACTTATTCCATCATATTTTTTTTAATGTTTCCATTTCTGCTGAAGCCTGGGGCAGCCCTACAAATCACTGGGAAGCATGCTCTAAGTGTCACTGTAGGACTGGCGGGGGAGGAGGGGAGGCTAGCCATGCCCCTTCTAGGAGTGCAGAGCTGCTGCCCACCTTGCCTAGGGCCCAGCAATTCTGTCCCTCCCCCCCCCCCCCCCCC